AAACCTCCCCTGTCTCAGTTTAAAACCATTCCCCCTTGTCCTGTCACTATCTGCCCTTGTAAACAGCCATTCCCCCTCCTGTTTATATGCTCCCTTCAAGAAATACGTGCAAGAGGGAAAAAAAAACCAAAAACCAAACAACACAACAGCATAAGGTTTAATCTAAGTCTTACATAAACACAACGTATAATACTATCCCACTGCACTACATGAGGTTGGCACGGCTCCTCTGGATGCCGCGGAGAGGCTCAGCCGCACGGAGGGCCGCGAGACGCAGCCACTCTTAACCCGCCCGGCGCTGGTGACGGCGGAGGACAGCGGGGAACCGGCGGCCCCGCCGCCGCTACTCACCTGTCCATGGCTGCCCGGCCCCACTCGAGCATTCCCGCCTCTGCCGGCCCTCGGCACGGAAGCAGAGGCCGCGCTTCCGGCCGTGAGAGCCGTGGCCGCACTGCGGCTGCGCGCTGAGCCTGGCTGAGGGCGGCAGGGCGTGGCGGGCGGCTGTGAGGCGGCGGCGTCTTGTGCCCGTCCGCGGTACTGCGGCCCCGGGTGGGTGAGGTGACTCAAAGAAAAACGCCCTTAGGGCTGAAGTTGTCCCGGTATCATGTAACCTGCTGTGAAAGTGTGAGGCAACAACCGCCGTGGCAGGGGAAAGAAAAGTCGTAGGAGTTGCACAGAACTGCACCGTTACACGTTTAACGTGCCTTAGTTCTGAACGCTTCCTCAAAAAACGGAGTAACGTCGGTGTGAAGTACGAGCGACGCACAGGTTCGTATCTGGATCGGTGGTCTGGCGCTAGCCCAAACTCCAGGACTGGTCCTTGTCCAGGGCAGAAAGCTGGAAGCGAACGAGAGACGAGGAAAAGAAAACGCTCCCCTCAGCGCTGCCTCCCTTCAAAGTCCGGGCATGAAAACCGAGCAGAAGAAATACAGCTGAAGAGAAACTAGGAAGGCTCTCAAGAAGCAGAGCATGCATTTCTAGCACGATACAAGGGAGTTAAGATTTAAATCATGAAATGTATTTCTGAATTGCCATTAAGTATCACGTTTGCACCAACACTGATCCTGACCGCAGCCACGCTGTCATACTCTTCACAGCAGAGCTCCACACGGACAGGTTGGGTGAGCAACGAGACCCCATCAGCTAGCACCAACTGCCACCAACAGGTCATCCCTAAGGAGTGTGCTCCCCACGAGCTGTACAGAAGGTTCATGCAGCTTAGAGGATGTACGAGATTAAAATGAGCAAACTATCTAAAATAATTATTAACTTAAAATAGGAAAAGATTAAGATGATTTATAACTGTCACTGTCTGTCTGAAAAGCACAACAGTAGTGCCAAAGATCTGTCATATTGGCCTCATTACAAGCATTGAGCCCGGTTTATGGGAACTGAGTTTAACATGCAGATTTTTGTACTGTGTGCAAGTGGTTAGTGTATCTTCCTTGCTAGATTTATTAGTATAAAGATGCCACGTAATATGAAAACATAATGATTACTGACCAAAGAAGGAACTGTAAATTCCACTTTGATTTCACTCTGTATCCAAGATTCCAGGAGCACGCCCTTCCTGCTCTACCCTTCCACATTACAGCAGCCAAAACAATTGCACAAATTAATTACAAACCACGCTGTTCTTCAAATGAAAGAATTCACCTCACACCACAGTCTCAAAGAAAATAAATTCTGGTGGCAGTGAACTTTCTTAAAACAATGAAACTGTGGAACATGTTATGCAGAACTAGCATTTCTTGAGGCCAAAGTGAACACAGCAGAATTATGAAGACATTCCTTTCTCCATTCACAAGTCTCTCCCTAAAGAACAACTCATTGAAAACAGGAACCCACCCTTTGCCTGATGACTCAAGATCACAAAAAAATAAATGGTTTTGGAGGATATTTAAGGAAAGACAAAGCACCCACACTTCTGATTTTTCAAGTCCAGATATTGCAACACTGAGAACACAACACTGCAAAACATTTTTGCTTATACTTCCATACTGAGGAGAACATAAAGTTTGATAAATAAGCATTATTCCAGAGTTTTACTTTAAAGAACAGAGCATTAAAATTAAGCTTAAAGAATCTTCAAATTGTTCATAAGCCTTTCAAAGGAAAGACTAAAGGGCTTGATACTCAGAAATAAGCTTTTCTAAAGCTACCTTAGGGAACTACATACAACTACGTTTTGTGATGTATTTGAGTAACTTTTTATTTGCCTTCATTCTTCTCCGCATACACAGGCAAAATAGAACAGCTATAAAGTGAAGTATAACTTAATGCTGCTGGAATAGCAGATACAAAGCTTTCTGTCTGTGCTGATGTTTGGCTGCATCTGCATATTACAATTTAAAAAATAGGAACTTCAGACACCTGTATGCAGACTACTCTCACATTCCAAGACTAGAAATAAGTTTCTGTTGTTTCTAAGACAAGGCCTATCTAGTACCAGTTTGTTATTGTGGGAAGATTTCTCCCCTTCAAGCTTCCTAGGAGACTTCAGGAAATATTCATCAAGTTTGATCCACCCAAAATTTTAATTTTATAAAAGAAAATCCTCATCTTTAGTGTTTGCCCATGAGGAAACAGCAAGTCTAATTACAACAGTACAGGCGAAAAACACAGCTTTAATCAAAATTCCAACAATATTCTGTTCCCACCTCTTCTTTCTAGCATTGCAGTATCAGTACACATTATGAAACAAACTTAACATCTATCTCTACAACACTTTTCCAGAAGTTATGTTTTTCTTATGCAGAAGAGCAGTAGTAGTTTGAGTTTACAGTGCGTTCATTTGGGCTTCTGAAAACATCTTACAGTCTCAAAATATTCCTGTAACTTAGGCGAGTAGACATTCATTTCACAGAATAATTTGAGAATGAAGAAGGGCAAAAGCAACAAGTTAGAAGAAATAAATGTAGACTGAAAAGTCCTAATAGGAAGAGTGCAATTTCATTAAGTATTTCAGGACATAAACATTACTTTTTCCCATAGAAAGCTCAGACATTTAAATACTGACATACACCAATTCCAGACAAGTAGGAAATAAAGCAGTCAACCTTTGTGCGCACTGTAAGCATAAGCTAACTTTACAGGCAGTAATACACACGTATTAATACTGAATTTGGAAAATTACTGCATTAGTTTTCTCAAATGAATTATGCAGGCTTTTATCCAAAGCTTTAAGAGAAGTGTTCTGTCCCTACACAAGTAGTTCATCTGTGAACTTTTTAAGTGTGGTACAGAAAACAGTTATCCTGAAGTAGAAGTTCTCAAAAAACTTCAGCAGACAGGATTCTTTTCTAGAATTAAATGCTTACATAGTTCCAATTCCTGGGAGGAACTGGATGTTCACTTCCCCAGCAAGAACAGTTTCGTATACTGTAATTACTTAGGTAGGAAGAAAATAATTTCATGCTTTTTCCCCTTATGCTTCACGTCCATCACCTTGCATCACTTTGCCAGGCATCCTTCCTTTAACAAGTGGGACACCATTTCCTTTAAGGCTTTCAAGGAGAACAATAATGGTTTTTAGTTGCCACCTGGGTTAACATTCATTGATTTTGCAAGTCTAGCCTGAGTTCTAAGTGTTAATGAAAGTGTATTTTACTTCTTCAGCAGTCTTTGAATGGAAAAGCATAGAGTTTCTATAAATTTTTAACTTCCCTGTGGCTTGATCAAAACAGACTATTTCTAATGCTGAGGCATTGTATGTTTACTACTCCACAGCGCAACCAAGAATGTTTCAGAACAGAGCTTTCAGTACAAAGCCTGACATTCCTTATAATCAGTACTTTTTGGTTGGACACTGAGACCAAGCAAAGGTCTCCTCTGATGTTATCAAAGAATTTTCTCTCCTTCTCACCTACTGCCACCTGTACAGCTGCCCAGAAGAGAAACACATTAAAAAGCTGAGATAATGTCAACTGGGACATAAAAGCATTATATGAACTGAACAAGCAGATGTTGAATGTGAAAGAAGTGAAAGGAGGAAAAATACCTTCCTCCTTGACAAGCTAATCAGTATCAAGCTTATAAGAAAACAAACAAACAACAAAAAACACTAAAGCACCCACTGCTCAAATCTAACCTGCCCTGGGGACCAATCAGAAGGCAGAGTGTGCCACAATACATTTATGGGGATCAGCCACATGTTCTGGTAAAGGGGAAGAAATTTCAGTCTTAATTCCAACTCTGCACAGTGAAAGACTATACTACCTCATTAAAAAATGGCAGTGACTGACAAAAATACCAGCAGGATGGATCGTATGGCCTCTTTAATAAATTCACTGTGGGTAGTGAAGTAGCTAAGGCTGGGAAATTTTGAGATAAAACTGAATTGATTTGATTTTGCAGGAAAGAATTAGAACAAGCTCTGATAATTCCATGCCAGAGGAAAAAAGAAAAGAGGTACCAAGTATTTGGGCGTGACAGTTTTCAAAAGCACAGCCAAGATCAGGAGATCATCCATAGTCCATGCATTCCACTTTACATCTGTTAATACTGTTGGACTGTGAAGTCTGCAAAACTACACTTAATACTTCAAGAATGCTCTTCTGCAGATCTCCCTGAAATCAAACAAATATGGTTTAATCGTCCAGAAAAATCATGTTTTCTCCCAAGATATATTCTTTCCTTTAATTCTAACAGAAGATTCTTCCTAGAAAGAAGGAAAAGAACAGGCAACATATCCTTCGTTTCTCAAAAAAGTCACTGCTGGTCTACTTTTGAAAACACACTTTTCAGTAAGGGAGCTAGTCTTACATTAGCATTTCAAATATTCCACGTCCAAAGCAGTAAATGAAGTTTCACTCAGAAATTCTTCCGCCCTAGTACATGTGATGCTATTACAAGAAGTATCTGTGGCATGTATTTGTCCAAAGACAAAGCAATAAGTGTTCCTTGTCGTCATATGATGTATGAGTCTGCACTGTGCAAGAGGTCTAGAATCGATATTTACTAGCTCTACCAAAACACAAAACATTCAAGTAGTATATAACTGTAATGCAAGCCCTTGCATGGCAATCCAAATTTATTGAACTACTGATGCTAAGTCATACAAAATTGCACCACTTTAATTAAGGCTTTTAGTTTACATTTGGCCACCTCAAAGCAGTTGTAACATTAGGTTGGTCAATTTAAATACTGTGGCTCCCTGTTGGATATACACACAATCTTTACACCCAAACGTTAATGCATACAAAGCAACAAGGCATTGTTAAATAAATCAGCAAAAAGTTAATTACTGCAACTTAGGCCCTGTGACCAATTACACATGATTAAAATTACTTCCCACATTCACATCCACAGTACTCTTCCACCATTTAACATCTCAACCAAAACGTTACACATGTAAAACAATCACTAACAGGCAAAAGTACTAAACCTGTATATTTGGTATTGCAAATACACTTATGCATGAGCAAGCAAGGGAATTCACAGTGAGAATCTACAGCTGCAGAAGCCCGAAAATGATTTACAAAAAATTGTTAAATCATTAAAAAATCGTTTTAAAATATACACTTCTTGTTGTAGACCCCCACTGTACACACAACTATAAACATTGTTCCCTATGTAAACAAGGAAAAGGAAACATACAATAAAAGGTTGAAAAGTCTGGACATTTCCTTCCCAACAGATATTAAAGGCCATGTCTTTAGTCAGACGTTATACTGAAAGGACTCTTAAAGACTAGATCACTGTCTCCACAGGTTTCTCCTAAAATTAAAAAACTATATAGCTGTTGTGTTAATCAAAGCGCTTTTGTACAATACGATGATGATGATCCTGTATTTCTTTAAAAAAGTTACAATAAGCTACAAATACCGATGAAGCAAAGTTATCTGGAGTAGTCTATATAGGAGCTCTTTGGACTTTCTTTTATTATGCTAAAATAGTGGTGCTTTTAGGATTTACATTATTGTACTCTCCAATAGAAAGTGGGGATTGTTGAAGTATACAGTACACAGTTTTCATACATGTACAACATTGGTGGATGAACAATGTCTCTTATCAGTAATACTGGATGTAGGCTCTGGTTTTACCAGTTGCATACACTTAGAATATTTATAAGTAAAAATCTCTCGTGACACTGGAAAGTGATTAGAATGTGCAAACTGATGTAGTAGCTTTCATCCATTTCTTAAAGGGTACCACCACAGGAAAGTCCATTTAAGATGTTGGTAGGTTTAATAAAGTTGGAATGCTGGCACTGTTGAATTGGGCAACAGTTCTTCAGACCTGTAACAGCAAAATGACAAGTTAAACCATGACAAATAGTTATTACTGTCTAGTTAAGAAAAACTGAAGCAGGAACTAGCAAAGTTATTAGTGAATACGCTCAGAAAATAACCTGATTGCTTTTCCTCTACTAATATAACCTCTACTGTACATGCACAATAACAAGTCAATAAGTAAAACTGAGTTGGGATACACATGGTAATCCAAACTGAACTGTGGAAGCAATATTTGATGGGCAGTACTAATTCCTTACACTAGGACAATTCCAATGGCTGTGAAATTGCACTCACACATTTGGAGAATCAAAGCTCTTAGTTTGAAAGCCCTGTTAAGGAAAGGCAGCAATAATATCTGTTACTCTCAGCTAATGCCTCTGGAATCCTCCTGGTTTGCCAGTCAAGAAAGACCTCTGCCCAAACTAGGGCTTGGAGAGGGAGAGGAGGAAACAAACTGTTCAAGAGCAAGTTGTAGGGAAAAAAAAATAAATATCACAACTAACTCTTGAAAAAGCTTACTGAAGAGGCAGGCTGAAACTTGCATGAGCCTTCAACAGCGTTCTTAAAACACAGCTTTAGTTAGGCAGAACATCAGCAAATTGTCAAAACAAGGGAGATTAATTTAATAACAGTAGCTCCAGGTCAAATATTTGGAGTGTTACAATGATCCCTTCACCACCCTTTTCCCAATGCAACCACTAACCATATCACAGCCTATAATACATCCGTGTAGTCCAAAGAAAACAAGGAATTTTCCTGCAACACCATGCAAATATGAGGATGAGTTTAAAGTGGTAGTTTGTATACTAAAAACATCAATATTTTAGTGTGCATTCCTGATAATTGAGCTCTTGCAGTATATTTTATCAGCCTCCAAAAAACAAAAGTTCTTTTTCCAAAAGCTAAGTGTTGGAAGTATCAGGACAAGTGTCATTAATGGGAGTTTCATCAATACCTTAAAGCTTGAAAAAACTTTTTTGTATCAGTATGAATAGTGTATGTATGTATCAGTATGTATCAGTATGAACAGTGCATCTTGCACAAATTTTGTAGTTAACATCATAAAAGCTTCAGGATATCAGGAATTTTTTAATGCAGTTCTGCACAATAGAAGCTACAAGTGTACTTGTATGCTTGCTTCATTTGTTTTTTCAAGTCAAAACACACAAAACTGAACATTTTAAAAAGGTTTACCTGGCTCAGAGCTACAGTACAGCTATGTATTAAAGTAGCTGACATGATGACTTTTTGCGTGCTTTTCCAGGCACTGGAGTTTTTCTGTTAATTTGTCGCACAAGGTCATAAAAGATCTGTGAATATAAACGTCCGTTGGTTACTGGAATTAAGATTCCCTCACAACCTCAACTCTTCAATCTTATTTACTCAGATACTCAAAGATCTCTGCTAATATTTAATTATCATGAAGCTGGAAAGCTAAGCTGCACACTTAACGTATGTCTACTTTTGCTGAAGATATTTGATCTGTGGGTCAAATTTACCTGAAAATAACAACATGCCACCACGATCAACTAGCATACACCATTACTTCCAATTAATTCAGCAGCCTCTACAGAACTACAACACTATATTTCCTAGACAGGTAAAGCGTAAGACTCACACTTTGAGTCTCCTTAGAATTCTAATTAGACTACAGCTTTGTGGAAAAGCTGATTTAAGACAAATCTAAGCACTGCAGTTAAATAGCAGCTGTTTTGTTCATAATTGACATTGTGCCAATTATTTCTGCATCTCGCACATCAAGTCCTCACACTAAAGCTCTCCTAGCAGTTTTTTAGGGCACTGTTTGCAAAGGAGCAAACTATCCAGCAAGGGCTTTTAGTATCTGATGGAAATAAGCTCCAGTTTATTAAACACAGAACTTTACTATAGAGTTCAGCAAATACATTTTTAAGAACAACTGTGTAGTTTCCAGAAAATCCTAATTTAATATTCATTACTCATTTTAAAGTCAGCTGTGCATAAAATCACCACACTCATTTGATTACAAGTCTTGCACAGAGGGCCTTTCAACTTGACTGACACTGTCAATAATATTTTCCAGCAGACACAATGAACTGCAGGGTTTATAATAAAATTCAAGCTGTTCCAGAAAGGTAAATATTAAACACAGTCTTTTTCTAAATGCTTTTTGCATCAGATTCTTTATGCTTATATACCCCCACTGAATAAGAAAGCATATACTATGGCATGTCCTAAAAATGCATAAATGCATGTGCTTGATCAGATGCCTAGATCCTGCTAAATAAGTAGCAAGATACAAGAGATGGTTTTTTTGTGTGTTTTATTTTATTTTTTGCAGAGCATCTATTTATTTTTTCCTCTCCAATCAGCTACTTCTGAAAACTGAAAGTTTTAAGTAAAAGTGAACTGTATCCCTTGATATAAATTAATCATAGATTCTCAAAATAACAGGGTATACTTTTGTCCATTACAATCAATGTTATTTTTGATTTTTTCCTGACGTATGGTAGCATTTAGTTAACAAAATGTTGTCTCATTCTTATCTGCCACCGTTCCATCACACAGGTATCATGCCTTACCTCATTAACATTTATCTTTGATTTTGCAGAAGACTCTAAGAATGCACAATTATTCCATTGCCTTGCTAGGTTCTGACCTTGTTCCTTTCCCACAACTCTTTCATCTTCCAAGTCACACTTATTGCCAACCAGAATCATAGGCACCTAAAAACAAGTCAGTATCAGCATAGAAATCATTAACAATTTGGAAAAGCACAATGTAAGATACCTGACTGCCAGCATAATTGAGTTCTGGTATAACTGAAACTTAAGCTTACACTTCTGTGAAGCTTCAAAGTGACTGCATTTTTTCTTGTCTGCCATTTCGTATGGAGTTGCAAATGGTTGGATTCATACAAACCACTAATTAAGTAAATTTTACATGTACTAAGTGTTCTTAATGGGATTTTACTTTCACATGCATAGACATCAACTGTTAAAATTAAAGGCATCAAAAAGTCTATTGATGACTCAGCTGCAAGACTTCAACATGTTCAAAAATCCTTGGCATGTATTTGAAGATTGAGAGGAACTTTAAGCAATACAATTCCATATGATACAACCAAGGAAGGCTTATGCTAACCAGAATGAATGTACCTCAGAAATTAAGGTTTTGAATATCCTGAGAATTATTTTGATTTTAGTTCAACTCTGTACAACATTAATACTTAAATAAAAAGGCAGTTTTTAGGTTTTGGAAAGAAGAGGTGTGTGAAAGTTAAATTCTGCTTTCTCAAGATACGCTTGTGATAATGGATAGTAAATCACTTTGAGATAAAATACACTGAATATAGGCAAGACAGGTTTAATAAATTGCAAAGTGCTTTCTAAGAGTCACAGTAAGCTTCTATGAAATTGAAAAATATGTTATGTCTGCCAAGAGCTGAAGCACAGATATTTGAAGAAAGGGATCACAGATTCCACCAGCAGATTAAATAAGATCTTATTCCCCTCCTCTGCCTAGTGCCTCAGCATGCAAGGTATTTCTGATAAAAATAGTTTTATAATGTTTGAAATGTTTATAATGGCTTTATAATGTTTGAAATTTGAAATACCTTTCCTTTTATTAATGGAAAAGTTAGTCCCTTTCTACCAAGGTTAAGATTTTTTAATCAGTTATAGATTTGTTTTAGCTTCACTTTATATGTTAATAATGCTAAGGGCTGCATGCTGAAATTGTGTGGAAACAGTCTGACCAAACGTGCTCACAAGAATGTACAAAATGTAAAGCTACAGAACACACAAGTTTGAAGCTTTCAATACAGTCTTCTGGAAAAATTTAATTTTGTTTTCAAAATACCACAAGCAGTGAGAAACACTGTAGGCTTTTTTAAACTTTGTTGTGTAGTAATGGAAGTAAAAATACAGTTGCTTTAGATATGTTGCTGCAGCCCTAGAGAATAAAGTTATGTATAGTTTCAAGTTAAGCATCTGAAAGGTAGAAATTAAACAATTCTCTTTATGGAGTACATGACAAGTTATGTGTTGCCTGCTCTGCCTCAAGAGTTGCATTTCTTTACTATGCATCTGCTGGTTGATTTGTTTCTTACCTAAAGCATGAAACCTATCTGACCAAAGTGTAAACACTACAACACTGCAATGAGAACTGCAGAAGACTTTAGCATTTAGAGAGATGCTTACATCATCAGTGTCTTTGACTCGAAGAATCTGTTCTCTTAGATCCTGTAAATCATTAAACGTAGACTGTGCTGTGATGGAATATACTAATGCAAAACCTTGTCCGTTTTTCATGTATAGGTCTCTCATTGCTGTAAACTGTTCCTGTAATTAAAAAAAAGGTACAGAGCTTGCATTAAATTTGCACTTTCTTTATACAAACTGCCACATACTTCAGGTTACAAATGTTTTACAAGTATGATGCATTTGTGCTCTCCCCTTTTTAAACTAGTATTTTACTGTTTTATTGTATGCACTAAAGTAAGTTAAGCCACTTCTAAACAAATCCCAAGCCTGGAACATTATATAGGCTGTTTGTACAATATCTAGATACTGCCAAAGGCTATAGCACTGACAAAAAAAAGTCATCACAGAAACTGAAATAATTTGAAAAGAGAGAACAAGTACACTGTAGATTACAGATGTTGCATTCCTCCTGGATCCTTTCTATTTCAGCTCTTTCCTGTCTCCTGTTTGTTTTTCGAAATACAATGCAAAGTAACTGCATCCCCAGTCAATCTCCGTTTTATACACCAGACACTTCCTATGTAAAATCCTTCTTTCATTTTCAAGGAGACTGAATAGAGGATAGAGATGCTCAATAGACTTGTCACGTTTTGTAGACTTTGGTGAAAACAGTGCATAACACAGCAGCAGCATTAGGGCTTGTCCCTGATTGAGAGCTCTCACTAGTATGACTGGAACAGCATTTGCCTTACTCACCTTGGTGACTTAGCTATCTTGTGATTCATCAGTCACTCATCAAGTCCAGGAGCTAGTTTATCAATTGAAAGTACATGATCACAAACTACAACTGTATTCCAATCTAACTATTCCACGTCACGCAGCTCTTCCTAGTGGAGCGTAACTAAGTGTAATAGGATTTATGAGGCTAAATAATGGAAACATTTCAAAGTTCTGTCTGTTTGCATGTCTTCAGCTTTAAAATCCAGTAATTTTTTATTTTTATTTTTTATTTATTTATTTTTTTTTTAGGAGGAGTGGGACTTAATTTTATATGCAACTTCTCCAAACTTCTGATTTCTTTTATAAGTCCACCCCTTTTGTGGTTGGATGCCTGGAACACGTTAATCAAGATCTTACTATATCTCCACTTCTGTGATTAGAGGCAAGCACTAATGCAAAACAGTGACGTTGTTTTCAAAATGACACAAGATATTTAGGTAATAAATCTGCAGCTGAAGTGGTGATGTCAGTTTTAGGCTTATAGGGGATACCAAATATCCACATACTAAACACACACTGAGTTTTTGCATATTTGTACCCAAGAAGCCTGTATTTTCATATATAAGTTTTTCTTCTACATCTGTACCAAATACTACACGTGAGATGAAAAGCACAACCTATTACAAGGGAGTATCCACTCAGTCTTTCTGTAGTTTTACACAACCATACTCTGCTTTGCAGTTTAAATAGACGATTATGGGATCTGATTGCTATTAGAGTTCAAAAAACACATACTATACTCCAAGGGACGTTCACTGGAATCAATGAGAAAAATGACTGGTTTCAGTGTATTTTGGAACAAGACAGTAAAAAAACATGAGTAGCACGCAAAGGGTAAGCATAAACCCTATGCTTTGAGTCTCCATAAGCTGACTAAAGAGACACTATTCCTACCCTCATGTCAGGAGTCCGTCTCAGGCACAACAGAGAAATGAGAGAAGAAGAAAGTACGTATTTTTACAGCAACAGAAATCAAAACCAAGTAACCACACTGGGCATAAATTTGTCTCCAGGCACTGTAAATTTAAAACAGCAGCAGAATCACTTTTAAAAGCGTTCAGACTGATATTTCTCCTATTACAGAACATTAGATCACAGGAAACTTGCAATTTGTTTTCTGTTGCAACTCTCTAGCATTAAGAACAAAACTTCTGTTGAAGAACAACTTACATCCACATTGACCGCGGTTACTCTTTTGCAAACGAGGAAGGAAACCTGTCATCATTTACACTAAACTCCTTATAGTTTTTGAAAGCTTTAACACTGTACAGAACTTGGGAGAACTGGTTTTACTTACCGTTCCTGCAGTATCTAAGATTTCAAGCATACACTGTTGCGCATCTACTTCAACTTGCTGTCAAGAGAAATAGAAGTGATTAGAATGCTTCCTCTTGCAACTCTTCTCTTTAAAACTACTACAATTGTGTGACTTTATAAACAGATTCATAATGCATAAAGCAACAGTTGCTTAAGAAGTTTATATGCATGTACACTCCGAAACCAGCAGGAAATGGCCTTCTAAAGAGCCCCAGTGACATTTTCAAAAGCAGCTTCAGCAGCCAAGTACCACTCTGCAAAGTGATTAGGAATTTTTGATTATTAAAAAGGAAGGTTGCTGAATTTGCAATATCAGCAACTAGCACAACTGATTCCTATTTGTTCCAAATATCATTCACAGAGTGAAAGAACAGGTGAATGTTTCAAATCTGAATTAGCACACTAATGCTCATTCAACTGCGATTGAAATCACTAAGAGAATAAGAGGTATACAGCATACAATACACAAAGCAAGCCACTAAGTATACTTTCACAAAATTAAGCCTTTAGAGGCACTAATTAAGAAACTGAACCAACTTTAAAAAAAAACTACATAAGTGTAAAATCAATTTTGTGTAAAAAAGTGTAAGATCAATTTCCACATCCTTCTCAGAGTTCCTCTGTCAGTCTCAAATAAAAAAAAAAAAAAAAAAACCAAACAAAAGGGGCTGTGAGGGCAGCAGGACATAAAAGTGCCCTCAAACTGTTTCAGGCTGGTTGCCCACATTTTTTTTCTTTGCATCTGCGCACAAAATTCAGGGTTAACTTTAAGCTTTTCTTTTGTAAGTAGATTAGAACTAGAGGAGGAAAAAGTTATTTCCACTCATCTCACACTTCTCTCATGTTCCCCAGGGATGGAAAATTTCTTCAACAGTCACTATTTCAGCACAGACTGCTGACAAAGAAAGTCAGCTAATTAAGCACCATCTATTCTCTTCACGAAGAAATATTTGGGGAGTAGATCAAGACTGACTTTTAAGACTTCATGCTCACTTATTCTATTCATGCTCTCTTCATTTCTGCTCAGACAAAAATACTTCAAGCCACATCCTCTCAACTTCAAATACTTTAAATTTCACATTAGCAATACAGAATTGTAACTGCACAATAAATGTATTTTAAAACTACCCATGAAGCAGGTTAGAACACTAACTGGAGTGAGGAAAATAACATCATGAAGTGTCATCCACACTTAAGCAAGACTTCATCTAACTGATTTGAAAAGAATACAGACATATTCCTCTGTTTGAGGAGCAAAACTGAAATGAATTTTCTTGTGATAACTTCTCCAGCCTCCATGGAAACAGCCTGTAGACAAATTCATCCAGAAAACATCACAAATTTGATGTGACATGAAGACTGGGAATATATAACAAAGGAAACATTTCGCTTTAATACAGCTTGTGCATATTTTCAGAGTCACTTGTTGCAAGCTTTTGCTGGGTCAGACTCCCTGAACATTATGATTCCACAATTCCTGCTCATCTAACATAAAAAAAAAACCAACATTGCTACATTTTTGGGTTTTTATTTTGCTAGCACTGTCTCTTTAATAAGACTTCTGCATGCTGAAAAAGCTCTGAGCATATGGGCTTTCAGACAGAGCTAGATTTCTGTGAGGTCAAAGAAAACAAGTGTGAAATTATTGTTTTGCTAATTCCTCTTCTGTTCAGAACAAACTCCAATAACTCCACACTGCAAAGGCTGCTAACGCAGTCTCTGTTCCACTATCAATACTGCCCTAGAGCTGAAACAGGAGGCTCTGCTCAGTCCATTCCTACCCATGGTTTGTGCATCTTGCCTTCCTCGCATAACACCAGTATTTCTATGGCCCCCCATGGGTGAGCTACATCAGAGAATCAACACATTTGGAAAGTAATTCAGCTAAAAAATGAACAACATTAAGAAACTGACACTGATCTGCTTCATTAAACAGTTAACTCTTTTGTCAGTAATCCAGATGTGAACTGTCTTAGCTGAGAATATTAATCATGGTCTCAGTGAAAAACGAGCAATGTGGAGAATTCAAGACGATGCACGCCAAGTCAGACCTTTCAGCCTGTCATGCTGAGGATGAGAAGAGAAACTAACAGGTCACTGTTTGTTTATTTATGATACGTTTGTGTCAACTTATTAATAAAACAACAACCCAGTTAATGGAACCATATCAAGCAGATCAGTGAAACCGTTAGGAATGTAGTACATTGCTGCCTGCATTCTGAAGGTGAGTCTGAATTTGGGTTTAGCACGTTTTCTTAGTAGCAAAGAAGTTTGAAAACTCTGGAATCCAGGTCAAAGTCTACTTGCAGATCCTAACTCAGAATGTAGTTGTGCACACATATCCATGTAAACTCATACAGGAAAATAATTAAAAAAATAAAAGTGGTAGCATATTAGTAAGCATGAAATTATATATTTACGTATAATTTTTTTTTTTTTTTTTTTTTTAAGTGTTTCAGTGTTCCTAATTCCAACAATAAAATTACCACTTTTTCCTGACTAGCTAGTAGGTATTAGGCTTAAACATTAAAAAGCTAGCCTTGCATTACTCCTTTTAGGCATACTTTTTAAAAGCATCTTTACATTTCAAACTTTAGTTAGCAGATAGTATGTGACATTATCAAGCACACCCTTTTTAAAGTAAAAGCTCTAATGCTTCACAACATCTACAGCAGCCTGAAGCATTAAAGCTTCTTAAGCATAAGAGTTTTTACACTTACCTTTCTGTAGGAGTCTTCTATCGTAGGATCGTATTTTTCAACAAATATTCCTTGAACAAACTGTACAGTCTGCAACACAAAAGTTCTTCTAAGATCCTTCTTGTACAATGCACAGTGCATACAAAAAGTTAAAAACTACCATTCTATGTGTATAGTCAGTTATTTATTGCATTTTGGAAAGCAAACTAAGCAACAGACAAGTATAAATTAAGTGAAATGACAGGAAGTTAGAGGTATTTTCTTATGTGATTAAATATTGTCAGGTAAAGTAATACTACACCTTCTTCTAGCCACTGTCACTCAGAGCATAAGCATTGATTAAAGGTTTGTCTAACTCTTGGAATCATTATTAGTTGAAGAGGATACTGTACAGCTGAATGGCTTCTACATTTGTATTCAGAACTACTGCATCTTTCATTGCTCACCTGCAAGGAATTACTCAAAAAACAAACGCCAGTATTTACTAGCTTTACATAGACTAAGATATTCTTGTATACCTAGCATGTAGGACAATTTTAGCCTGAGTGGAACTTTAAGACTGGCCAATTCAGAACAGACATGTTCAAATCCAGAAATGCTACGGTAAAATAAGAACTGTGAAGTGAAGGGAAATGTTATTTCACAATCTAAAATGATTTGTCAAGTAGGTCTTCCTTTAGGAACTCCTCTGTAAAAGAATAATTTCTCTGCACTTAAAACTACAAGTGTTTAGATCTTACTTTCTGATAATGTACACAATTTGTACACAATTAAGTGGAAAGATGTGAAGTTCTCAGGTGGGCTGAGAAGATCTTGTTCTGTGAACTTCTTTAGTGCTAGTGTAGGTTGATATGACTGTAACTTCTCTGTATTAACTGAAATGCACAAGCTCCTTGGTGTGCGGTCACCTACCTGCTATAGCTGTTCACTTATTTGCTAGCAAAGGTGTTGAAAACACGTTAGACAAATGGATAGAAGTATCTGCACTTAAAATAAATTAGTGCTTTAGAGACTACTGTGGAATATTACAAACAGTACCCCAAAGAACTTTGTACAGACAGAAGTTAGCAAAGCCAGGCACACGCAAGCCAGTTCACCCTGCTGGCCTCCCAAAAGAGCTTCATTTCCCACAGACCAATGGCCAGGCTGGTAGTGAAGCCAGAGACCTCCATACTGCAGCAGCTACACATTTCACTGCGTAGGATATGCAAAGGTCTGACCAAGCACCAACAACCAAACTCATCCAGAAATAACAGCATGCAAACTGCACCAATGGAGTTGAATACACCAAGAAAGCACTGGCAAGCACACTGCAAAGAGTGTACTTATTGTAACCAGGAACCCTCAGCAGCCGTTACTTATGTTTATTTGTGCTTATTCACATGAAAGTAATAGGGGTTAATAGAGAGAGTCAGAGAAAGATGAAGATCTGGAAATATGCTTTAACTGTCTCACAATACTTACCAGAGCAGACTTTCCAACACCTCCAGAACCAAGAACCACCAGCTTGTATTCACGCATGGTGCAAGAGAGAAATTGCCCTCAATACCTAAAACACACAACAAATCATTTACCAGCTTTGTTCATCAGGACTGCTACTTTAGCATTACTACAGACACTGTTCTCTCAAATGTGTAAGGCACAAGCAGTTAAATACCAATATAAGCTATTAGATACCATTATAAGCAGGATGTCGTTCAGTTATTGCACAATAAGGAAACTATGGACACTTAAGGACAGTAGTCCTCAATACTACTTTCCTTGCACTACACAAAAGAGTATCTCTAAGTTTTTCTTTTTAACAGGACTTTAAGATGTAGAAGTTTTCATCCTTTATTTGCAGAAAGGAAGAATTAAGTGTAGAAATTAATTTGCTCCTATTGACAGTTAAACGAATTCTGTCACAGCACCCCAGTCAGTGATAAGTATTCATCACACAAGCACACACAAGGTCTTCTAGAGGAACCAAGCCACAGGACCTCCCTGCAATAGTCACAACAAGCACTGAAGTATTTCACAGGGTTCTCAAGATCTTTCTTTCACTCACAGAAGTTTTCTGCACTATGCACCTTGCAGCAACAGACCTGAATCATTATATCCCAGATTCACTCAGATGCCTGAGGAAACTGCAGTTTTACAAACACATTCACAGCACTGAATTTATCAGGTAAACTGCTGCTGCCATTGCTCTATTACTGCAGAGAACATTCATTACCTATGGAATTGACACAGACCTTCTAAAAACATTTCTTAAATTTCAGAGCTATTACACTATTACATATCCCTTCCTCATCCAACCCCCCAAATTTATGTCATGCTGCACAAGTTCTTGTAATTTCATACGCACACACGTGTAAGTGATTTTACTCATATAAGCTGACATGCACGAAACAACATCTCCACTTTCCTCTGAAGAACTGCAGTGTACCATTGACATCATCAGTGCTGGCTCAAATGCTGGATGGGAAATTTCTATCAGGAACAGCATCTTTTTATTCCTCATAAACCACAATACAAATCTCAGGCAAAGTTTCTATTGGTTCACTCAAAGTTTGTTCTATATCCAGAACGCACAATCATGACATTGCAATACACTTCACTATGTTTGATAAAAAGGCTTCATGATTTTTAAATATACAATGGTCATAGTCAAACCACCAACTCTTAATGAAGCTGCAATAAAATAAAATGCTGCAAACCTTCAGCTAAATAGCACATTCTCTATCACATTAGAGTTCTGTCATAAAAGGAAAATTGAGTAAACCCTGTTATAGCAGAGCTAACAGTTACCATTAGTAAGAAATAATTATCCAAGAGGAGGTAAGTGTGAATTTTCTCATTCTGAAACGTTTAAAAGCTAAATTATTTGCAGAGAGACTTGTGTAAGAAAATTAAGCCTATCTCTTCCCAGGAAGCAGGCATTTTTCAGAAAAGAACAGCAGGGTCCCAATAGTTTGAAAAAATACAAAAACCAAATCAAACACACAAAAAAACAACAAAAACATCTACATGAAAACCACGTGCTTAAATCTGAGACCTGATTAATGTTCTGCTAGATACCTAAAGCAGTTACAATGGCTGTGGTTTAAAACTATCTTGAGGCAATCGAAACACCTTTGAGACCATTCCTCTCCAGCAGGCCAGGAGTTCCACGCTGGCTGTGTGCCTGCCTATGGCTGTCTGCTGTGTTTGCTTACTTACCTTCACTGAGAACTAACCTGCAGAACCAACACAGATGCTGGGGCCTGGCTTTGGGTCTCACTGCTCAATTGAAGATCCCTCTGACAGCCCTGCAAGCAGCTGAGTTAAGAGAACTGCTCCCACTGCCTCAGAAAGAAGCTCTCTGCTCCTTCCCTGCACACACTCCAGCACTCAACAGGCTGAGTTAGTTACTTGCCTTCATACTTCCCCCTGCCATGGAAGAAAAGTTCAGGGGCAGAGGCAAGGCAGGACAGACTGCTCAACAGCAACACTCTCATACCTAACAGAACAACTTCTCATTCTACCCTTTGAAAGCACTCTTCCTATACCAAACCATTCACACCATGTTTATAATCTATTTTGCACCCTTGGAGATGTTCCATAAGACCTACCAAGCCATATGTACCAAGCCTCACTGCAAACACCAGGAACAGGTTGCCCAAGGAGGTTGTAGATGCCCCATCCCCAGAGGCATTCAAGACCAGGCTGGACGTTGCTCTGGGCAGCCTGGTCTGGTGGTTGGCGACCCTGTGCATAGCAGCGGGTGTGTAACTGGATAATCATTGTGGTCCTTTTCAACCCAGGCCATCCTATGATTCTATAAAAGGTATCATCTCTAATTAATGAAAAGCACCTTTCAAACTCCTGACAAATTAAGTCTGCAATTACTTTACCTGTCACTGCCTTAAAACAAACATTCATTTATGCCTTTATTTTTGGAAAGGTGTCACTGGAATGACATAAGACACAGTGGGTGTAGGGGAAATCCCAGCACTGTAATCTGAGTGAACTGCAGCAATTTCGCTGTCTTGCAAAGAATGGTTTGAGCAGAATTTCTCAGTATTCAGTCTGAAGTTAGCAACTAAAAGTAGAAACATCAGTAACAAAGGCTGACAGTAATTCAGAAGTAACAGAACTTAAGCAGCACATACCAAATATCTGTTTTACTGACTGGTTTGAGTCATTGGTGACTTCCAGCAGAGTTTAATGCAAGCCAGGGCTTCTTCTGGCAGCCAGGTTTGGAAGCTCAGTCCTATGTATCCAGCTGCTTTACAAGACTCAGGAGCTGGTTTCACTACTTTTAGTGCGGTACGTAATTGAAGCACATACATGCGATCACAGCTTGGTCAGCCAATCCTCTTCATCCACAAAATACCTAAGCAAAAAGCTTTAACATCTCTGTACATGTGTCAACGTCTGCAGCATGCTCAACAAATGTTTCTCTGACCTTTTCTCCAAATTCAAGCAATGAACAAACAAAGTGCTAACTTCCCCTTCCCCATGACAACCTGTCTGCCACTTGCACAACTACTGCTTGACTACCAAAAGCACACAATAATGCTTCAGTTATACGCACCCACGGCCCCTGTACAGCACAGAGGTAACTGGACATTCCTGCACTGCTTTACTGTTAGTCCAGCCATAACTTCTTGGAGCAAAACACAATACAACCTACTCCCCAGTACACTTTAAGATTAACACGGACATCTCTGGAGCACCGCATGAAGCAGAAGCAGCATCATCCACTTCCACTTAGCTGTACCACTTCACAGGCTCTGAAGAGCAGCCCTGATGTCACTTCACCTTTCTATTAACTTCTAATAAAAGAAGAGCTTTCATAACAAAAGAAGTTTTTTTCTGGCTACAGAGCTTTGCCTCCTCAGCTAACAAAGTACCAGATTACAGAGCAAGAAGCTGTTGGTCTGCCATGCTATTCTGTGCAAGAAAATCTTAGCACTTCATTTTCCAGTGGTCAGCTTGCTGTTGGCTACAATCATGCTCAGCCACCTGAACTAGGACACCAGTGCTGCCTGAACTTGATTTTCCAGTGATTCCTGACCAGTCAGCCCTGACTGTACTCGAGCTCAAACTCATCCTTCTGTACCTCGTGTTGTACTAACTGCTTGCATTTGAGACCTGGTTCCTACTTTTACTTTCTTTTTCAGACAGAATCAACACTTTCTTCCAGAATTAATACTATGTTCAGCTCCATCTAGTGCTGACATGGTTTCCTATTGACTCATTTATCACAAGTGATGGGAGTAGAGGAAGAAGATGGAAGATGAAGTATGAAAGAGGAGATTTAAGCCATGAAATACCCAATCATTCAGTTACCCTGATGGCATTCGAAATAACATAAGCCATTAAGCCTCATGTAAGACACTAACGTAAAATGTTCCACTGTTAAAAGCTATGCACACTATAAAACCTGAAACAGAAACTCAATCTCCTGGTGGACTGATGGCCATCTATGCCTGATTTTTTTTCTCCTCTAGATTCTCTGAAACATATATGAACCATAAACAGCTTCTCCTTATAGAGTCTTTCCCTTGCATTTCACATGTTTTCTTTCTCCTCCCACCACAACTGGGGGGTGGGGAAGAGGAAGGAAGTTACTGGTGAAGAGCATGTAAATTAAGAAGCCACCTGCACTATCAAGACAGGAGCTGAGAGTAGCTCCTCAAGAATAGTTGCCAGATTACACTAACCTGACATTTCGGTAATACTCCTTCATTCTAAAGCTATCAGTCCTGAGAAACGGATGTACTCAGGAAGGTACCAATAGAAAAGAAGATGGTATAATAGCTACTGAGCCATAGGTAAGCAAAAACAAGATTGGACAGAGGATCCTAAGAAGCACCCATAGAATTACCCAACAACCAGATACAAATCATTACAAACTTATTCAAACTAAATAAACCAAATAAGTTATTTGAATCCCTACCTTCCCACTTCTCTTAAGGAGAGTATTTTAATGGAAATTTACATTGCTTTGAAGGCTGGCTACCCTTAAAGAGACAAGCCTTTGAGAAACAGGAGCAGTGCCAACTTCCCTCGCTTTTTTGTTCTTCTAACTTAGGCAGGACAGTGCTGTCAACTGTGGTCTCTATGTAGGCACTAAAGAACAGGAAGCATGCAAAAAAAAATAAAGGCCTATTTCCCAACCGTAACTAACTGCAAAAAGCACTGGCTTTGAACAACTGAGTACTTATATGCACAGCTACTCGCATAACTGAATTCTGCAGATGTCTGGTGTAAGTTTTAGCTAGAAAGGAAAACTAGGAAATCTGCTCTTTTTCAAGAAATAAGATTTTCACGTGAACTGTACCCTAACACCATACTGAATCCAGGAAGAAAGCAAGCAGGGTTCACATGTTTTAAGGATCCTCAATATCACATAAGGAACTCACAATCAGCTTTCTACCCTGACCAGATAAAGTGGGAAAAAGTGGCTCTTGGACATTTTCTTAGACACGTCTCCAAACAAAAGCAAATCAAAGCGATGGCCTTTAAGATGGTCAAGGAATAAAAAAAAATGCTACCCCAGTGGTGAATGAAGAAGTTGTA